ACGCGCAGCTGGACACGGCCACGACAACAACGACTTTTGTATTACTTTATGGTTTTTATTAGTCTTTTTATTTATTTTTTTCACTCTCGTTTGTATCTTTTTTTTTTTTTTTCCTCCGTACGTTCTATCGGTTGTTTTCGCAGAATTCGCGGATCTCTTACGGTGGCGGTAAACTTGTACTATTCATGCGCGACACATAGACACAATACCCGACGTGTGTGTGTGTGTGTTATACATTGCACTCACGCGAAATATACATTTTACCGCTATTTATTGGTTCCTACACTAAAGACCCAGTGACCTTTTGTCAATGAATAGTCAGTCACCGGTGACATCGTTTATCCGGTCCCGATATGATGTCGTGTTTCCCTCGCGACCGCCGTCCTCCGCTTCTCGACCACCGGAGCGGCCACCTCTCGACACATGTGTTTATTTACCCTAAACGCGAAAAACACAAAAATAAAACGCTCGTGCACGTCGATATCGGCCGTTGTGATAATAATAATAATAATAATAATATCGTTATTGTTAGTATTATTATCTGTATGTGCGCCTCAATTAGATTTTTTTGTTCTCCATGCGATTATACTTAATTATCGGACAGCATACACCGCAGTTCCCACACATTAGCGGCCACTACCGGGGGGATAGCCGCACCAGTAGTCGAATAAAATAATAATAACTGAGCGTAATTGTTTGAGAAATAATAATTTGTCTCTTAAACGTACTACGGTAACGCGATGCACGCGACGATAACGAACGAGGCCCGTCGATTTCTATAATGTCTTTTTTTTTTTTTTTTTTAAAAAACTCGTCCTTTGAGTCGTCGTATATCAAACAATAATGATTAAAAACGAATGTACGGCTACCATCCGTACGAGATCAAAGATATACACTCTGCCGTGGTGCATGTCGTTCGAGTTTTGGGCTTCCGTGGAATTGTTTTGATTAGAGTGCCGATAACGCGGTTTCGTATGGTCGACGACCATAACTGGTCAAAGCTTAAACGGGTTGATGTAAACTGAATTATCGTGGCCGCAGTTAGATGCCATTATTTGTTTAGTGGGCACGTTCGTCCTATACTGTTGGTAGTCGTTTATGACTCATTTGACGTGGAGGTTAAACAATTCAACATTTACCGTCCTCCACTCGAAGACATCACAATGTCGCGTTTCCTGTAGCTTTATTTCTTCACGGTGTTATTTTTAATAAAGTTTATCCACAGTTTTTGAAATATTTCAAATAATATTTTTAACCCGAACTCTGTACACATGTCTGATTCCCGCTGGTTTTTTGCCCGAGCAAACGCCAACCGTCGGTGCGCACGCTGCTGTCAATTAACACTGTCGATTCACAACATCTGAGTAAACTAAACGTATTATTAATCATTTTTTTTTTTTTTTTTTTTATGTTTTTCGGGGTCAGACTTTTTCACATCGTACGCGATCACACGCTCTCGCTACGTGTGCCGGAACGATCCGAGGAAAGGTTATTCACGTGGTTTTTGTATTTAATTCGTTTTGGAAGAGAAAATAAATAGTAGCGCCAATTCGTTGTTGGCATTTGCCGCGCGCAATACGTTGTTGTTGATAAACGGCGATGGCGTCGGGTCGATCAAAAGAAACAATCGGCCAATAACATATACTTAGCGGCCTTTGAAAGGCGGCCTGTCATCCCCGTGTTTGTCGTTATAGCGCGAGCGAGGAGAAGGAAAACGATGCGAAAATCCGACAACGACCACCGGGGCAAACGTGTGTTGTTTGTAAAAACCGAAATTACGTTTCTTTGCAAACGACTGGCGATTACGACGTCGCGCCGGCCCTTGCCAGCGTGTACACAATACTCGAATGCAGATCACTTGTAAAGGCGAAATAAACCCAATACGATTCTCGGCGGCGGTGACCGCATAGAAATCGTCGGCCTTTTTTACAATACGTACAAATATACGGACGGAATCTACTAAAACGCTGTCCAATGATGATTTCCATTCCGATCCGGCAGTGCGTATAATAATAATAATGGTAATAATGGTAATACGATAATCGGCGGTTAACGACGGAGACACGTCACGTCCCGTTTCGTATCGTCTTGTCGCATCTCGAGTGAGCCGCCGCCAATACAATACCAATACGATCCGCGTGTGTGTGTTGTGCACCCGCCGATTCGGCCAATTTCATAATGCGGCGTTTAATGTGTACAATCCATCGGTATTGGTCGGACGGACAACGACACTGTGAGAAATTGTCCAAAAATACTCCTCTCAGTGCGATATTTTTAACGCGCACACGTTAATATATTACACGCCGCCAGTGTAGTTTTTATTACTATTTATCGAAACGTGTTTTCCTTGGGCCGTAAACTTCCAAACACATAAACACGTATGTGAAAAATCGGACATTTTGTGGTGTTTCAAGAGTGAACGGTAATGTTGTGAGAACGGCCGAAACGCGATTTTGCACGAGAGATGCGCTCCACGGGAGTTTATGCAGCCGAATTAATGGCGAACAACAATCGACGGCATTCACAAGACATGTTTTTTTCAAAGGTACAAGTTTCGAAATGGGCACGTCGCGGCGCTGTGTTAGTTTTTCTCGGGTTGTTAATGCGACCCGCGTAATGTACGCGGGTTTTTGAAATTGTGTGTGTGTGTGTGTGTTTTTTTTTTTGTTTCTTTGATTTGCCCGTCGTCGATCAGTGCCGTCGTCGGCGCCCTCGTTTGTTGTCCGACCGATAAAATGCCGACTTGTAATTATCATCGTTTTGTCGGCGTTTTCGAGGATCGCGCGCGCTTCACTGTTTACTTTTTCGTTGGCTTGCGAGTCTTTTATTTTTTTTTCAAATGATCACGCCTCCGATAATCCACGTGTGTTTAGGTATAATCATTTTTCGCCGTGTGGTAGGTCGCGGTCACGTCTACAACTGCTCCCATAAAAAGCATATTTTTCGTCTCTAATTATCTGCCGGCCGCGGTTGCACTTGTCTTGTACACACCCCGCCGCATATACTCACCCCGTGATCCGCCCCCTAATTAGATTCGCCCGCACGTCAAGTGCCGTACACACACACACACACACACACACACACACA